CCATTTGTTTTTGCTATGTAAACTCTTTAGTTGCTCTTTCTTTCTGCTTTTTTATTTCTCTTTTGATAGTTAGAAAGGTTATATTTTATAGTGCTATTTTTATATAATCCCATTAGCACCCTCTGAATTTTTTTTCAGATACTGCCTATTGGTTATTCCCTGTAAGCACCAATAAAATTAACATAATTTATTCTCTCCTTCTTCTCTTTCTCTTCTGTACTTTCCAATTTAAGTAAATACTATTTTCTTTATTAATGCTTATTTTTTTCTTGGTCATTTATACTTTTCTTGGACATTTTTATTTGGTCAAATATGTAACATTTTTCTTCTACCTTTCTTTCAACTTCTGTCATAGTGTTAGTCTTATAGTTAAAAATACTGCTAAAATCTTTTAGTTTGTCTTCAAAGCATCTTTTTGCTGCTTAACACTCCTCCAGTGTTTATATTATGAAGGGCTCATGGCTACATAATTCCCTGTAATTTTAATATTCCTATAGCTTTAATACTTGAATTACATTTAACTGGTTATGAAACCCTTGGCCCAAATTCTCTTTCTTTGTGTATCTAAATGCTACTCTACTCTTAAGTCTAATGCTAATCTAATTTTATTTACTTTTTAATAGCTGTCTTTTTCTTCAACATCGGGAAAAATTCTTTTTCTTTCAAGTCTAACATTTTTCTAATGACACAGAACTGATTCTTCCTGGTATAAGGTAATCATTTCAACATGTAGATGTGAATTTTTTTAATTACAGGAAATGTGATCCAATTTATAATTCTAAGTATTAGTTTGAGTTCATTGTTTTTTATTCTCTAGAAACTGTAATTATATATATATATATATATATATATATGATATTTTGTCTATTTCCTGTAATTATGTCCTACTCCAATCTTCTTTACCTTTTCCTGCAATTTGTTAGGGAGGTGATTTTTCCAATTCTACCCTCTAATCCCTTTGCTATATTTTCAGTCTTTATTTATTCTCTGTTAGGTACCTTGTTATTTGGCCTTTACTTTTGAGATAATTTTTCTTTTTTTTCAATATCTCTCCTTCAGCTTCAATTTAACATCCTCCTCCTATTTATCTATTTTTACCCTGAGTTTTCTTAATTTCTAATTTTGATGTCTCTTTAATCTTCAGTTGTTTTTTTTTAATTTTAAATTGTATTAATGTTATGTTTTTGAAATCAAGCAGAACCCAAAGGACTCCCTCAAGTACAAAGGTCCCTGCACATCCCCTGTCTTTTGTTTGTAGGAAAGTTGAAATTTCCCAGGCCTCCCGGAATCACAAAAGAGCACGTTCAAGCAGTTAATGATTAGGAAAATAGTCACAGAAACTTTCAGCATCTGCTGCACATTCCTGAGCTGTTCTGTAGATAACTATAATTGCCACCAGAGGGGGAAAGCTAACTTCATGACGACCAGACTGTAGCCATGACATAATCTTCTCCATCTATGGCTAGCACGGTTCCAAGTACTGGCCTCAAGAGAATGGAATTAGCATTATTGCACATAATAATCTATATCTTTGTGAGCATCAAAATATTATGTTTTGCTCTGCTTGCATGTATAAGCTGGCATTTAAAATTACCAGCAAAGAGATGTTACAGATCCAAGTGAACATCTTCCACTTTAAGAATATGGTGCCATATGTCAACTTGAAGAAGTTACAGAAGATGTGCCTTCACCCCTAATCCCATTAAAATAGAATGATTTCTGACAGTGGGGGTTTGTAAGCAACAACTTTCCTGTTGCTCATTTCTGTTTCCCTCAAACCTTGTAGAAATGAGAACACTATGCAACATTTAACCTAACTCCTAATTAAGCTCTGCTAAATGCACACAATACCTTGCCTAACCTGTTTCTTCTTTCCCTAGATTGAAAGAAGGAGAAATGAAGAATTAAGCAGTTACAGAGTGATTATCTCTCTACCCTAAACTTCCCCCTTAGCAATTCTTCAGGCAGACCATGTAACCAAGAGAACATCTGAAGAAAGATCATGAGGAGTCAGTCAGCCTGCACACAGTGGATATGATGCAGAACCTAACATTTTGTCTCAGTAATTCACTGAGATTGTTTCTGCCTTTTCCCGTTAAAAACTCATGTCTGAGTAGAACCTTTGAAGTTGGTTCTGGGACATGAGTCCATCTTCTTCCCAGATTGCAGGCCTTCTGTTTATAGCAAACTTTCCTTTCTACCAACATTTGCCTGTCAAGTGTAGGCTTTTGAGAAGCGAGCAAGGCTGAGTTCAATAACATTTTAGTATCCTTCTGCTTTATGACTAGGATTTTAGAATTTTCTTGCTATTGTTGAAAATTTCTGAAAATGTATACAAAAGAATAGTTTTATATGGATATTGGAATTTAATTTTTCTCTTTTTCTTTTTGCACTGTATTTTTCTAAAACAGCAATAGCAGGAGATCCTATGCATTGAGGGCAGAGAGGCTTTTGTGAGGCTCATCAGATTTCTCAGATCAAGGGCTTCCTCTTGTTACACTGAAGGGAAGATTCTTTTGTTAGTGGAGTCTTACCTTTGTCTTCTAATTTTTAATTATTATACTGTTTCTTAGAAAGCCTGAGATTTAAGTACTTCTTTCTTTTTTTTCCCTAACATTCAGGTTCCCAGGATTCCTTAGCCTTCCAATATGCCTCCCCCTTTACAAGCAGTTGAATGCCTTCCCAAGACTGCCAGTACTCATTCTGTGAACTCTCCACTCTTTTTATTTCAACCCAGCACTCACAAATGCTCTGACTTGCCAGGTCCCAGATCTCTCAGTATTCTCTAGTCAAGGTGAGGGCCTTTCCTTCTGGAGGTGAATCCTAGTTGATGCCATTTGTATTCTACCATTATTAAAAGCCTCTCTATACTTCCCTTTCTTCTGATGACCTGACCTGAATCTTGGCTCCTCTGTGAGTCATAAAGCCATCTTTCCCAGTCTTGAGGTTTCATCTTCTCTGTTCCCTCTAAACATTCTAGATGTGAACTCTTTGATATTTCCGGTTGGTGGCTGGAGGTATGTGTAGATTCTAATATATACAGCCATCATTTTCCTCTTTAAATTTTTTTTCATAGATACCTTGAGTTTAAATGCTACTCAATTCTAAGAGCATCAAAGCAAATTAAGGATCAGGTCCTTAGTCCATTTTACACATTGATGAGGGAGGTGGTGTTGTGAACTGCTGAAAACATCAGTTCCAGATTTGCCTGACTTCCATGACTTGTGGCTCTAGTGCCTGGTTCTCCAGGGGAATTACCACCTACGGCTCTGAAGGTTGCTCCAGGCAATACCCTTGGCATGGCTTAATTTTATAAAGGGAGAGAAAAGCTAATTAAAATATAAAACTGATCCTTTTATGAGGATGGCCTGTGTAAGAAAAAATTAAAATTTTGAATATTAGGCTTAATTCTCTTTCCTGAAAATAAGGGAAGAGACTTCCCCTTTTCTTAGAGTACTTACTTCAGAATATTTGTAAAGGTAAGTTCTTTCCAGTGTATTTGAAATGCATGTAAATCTTTTAAAAAACTAAATAAGCCTCTTGCCAGCTTAATGACCCAGAAATGTCTTTCTCAGGGACTTGGGTGCTATCTCTTTGAAAAGTAAACATTTCAGGAGACAGTGCTCCTTCTCCCTCTAGCTACAAAATTTCCTCCTATCATCAAAATAAAAGTTTCCTTTTCTATTTTGTAAAACCAAGTATTAATTAACCAGATGATCACCCACCTGACAGGTGAATTTAGGATGAACTATGTGTAAAAAATGGTGCTGTCAAGTTCACTTACTTTTGCTTAAGAACTAGTTATTTTTCTTGAGAATGAGTATAACAGATTGTATCAGCTTGGTGAGATTTCTTTCTGTCTTTACAAACCTTTAGTAAATTGACTCTAATTTGTATCACATTCTGGTTTAAAGCTTATTCAATAATACAATTGTTTTCTTTCTCTTCTACCTTTGTGGAGATAGTCTCTGGGTTGGGAAAAGATTTTGTTTTCAATTCTGTTTCCCCAACACCTGAATTATGATTGCTATTTATTTCCCTGAAATTGAAAACATCCTTAAAATTTCATTCTGCTTACTTATGTTTTGAGTCTTTGCTCATTAAAGTATATAGATGTAGTTAAAGGTAAAGAATGTTTCCTGCCATTTCAGTAAGCAAAGAATGTTGCCTGCCATCACGCCATCAGTCACAGTAGCCTCCCCCACGGGCAGAGAGGCCTATGGGCAATTTAAGATGAAGAGAAACAGGATAGTGGCCCTGGATAAAAAGAGGTACCACCTAAGGAATTATTTCAATGAAGCTAGACTCTTGCATTTTCCCATACATAGAAAAGTATTAAAATCATTATTTAAGATGTCTGGCTTTTTTTTATGATCAGGAGTAATCTTTTGATGTACTATATGTATATTTTTCAGCAAAAACTCCTATGTATCCTAACTCCTCCTTTGCCTCTTTTGAAGAGTTTCTCAGGTTATATGAGAGGCTGTCTTGCAGGTTATAGTCCTCAATAAGGTCCCCAGATAAAACATAACTTGCAACTTTTAGGTTGTGTGTCTTTTTTTCAGTCAACAGAGTCATAGTGTACTGATCATAATATCATATTCTTTTCAAAATAGAATAATTCTGTTGTCTTCCACCCCAACTAATCATCTCTCTTACTAGGTCCTCTTGAGTTCCCACTTCAACACTTGTCATTGAACATTTCTTTGATTTAGATTATCTTCTATCATGCATGATTTTGCCTTTGTGTATATATAAATATCCATTTCTCCAGCTCAAAAGTCAAGTTCTAAAAGAATAAATATCTTACTCTATTCCCCTCCTGATTTCTCTAGGGCACCCAGTATGATGTGGACACACGCAAATAAATAGCTCAGTTTATTTCTGACCTTCAGTTTTGAGATCACACAAATAATAATAATTAAATTTCCCAGGAAAACTTGTCTCTGACAGAATTTTAAGTAAAGAAATCACATTTGTATTGTCTGATTTTATTCTGATTATGTTCTTTCAGTACCTGTTGCTCCAGAAGTGTTATCACGAGCAGTTCCAGTGGTGGCAGCATTTTCACCTCCAGTTGTACCTAATTGAAAAGAATGATGTTCTCATTGGACATTGGGGTTGCTAGATTAAGGATATCAAAATACAGGACTCACAGTTGCGCTTGAATTCCAAATAAAGAACAGTCACATCCCAATTATTGCATGGGGCATACTTGCACCCCCCAAAATTTCTTATTTATGTGAAATTCAAATTTAAATGGCATCCTGTATTTTATCTGTCAACTCTACCCTACATAAATGGTTGTGATGAAAATGCTCTAACTACCCATTCATTTGTCCTAAAATTATAACCTTTAAAGCCAAAGCCATTACTCAATTCACAGAAATTCCTCCTGAGGAAGGAATCAGCTAAGAGTCTCAGCGAAGCTCTTGATGGAGCACCTCCAAAGTGTCCAGGTGTCCTGCACCTTGCCTCTGAACTACCAGCTGGGCTGGAACCGGAGAAAGATGGTTTAGCTGTGATGCCACTGCTAGTTCGAGTGGTAGTCCCAACAAATTCTACTGTTATGCCTGATAAATAGTATTGGGAGAGTATATATATTACTGTGTTTGCCAGGTGGCATTAGTGGTAAAGAACTTGCCTGCCTATGCAAGAGACTTAAGAGATATGGATTTGATCCCTAGGTTGGGAAGATTCCCTGGGTGAGGTCATGGCAACCCATTCCAGTATTCTTGCCTGAAGATTCCCATGGGCAGAGAAGCCTGGCAAGTTATAGTCCATAGCATTGCATAGTATCAGACATGACTGAAGTAACTTAGCACCCATGCATACATTAATGTGCCAATCCTGTACTGTAACACGTTTGAAGAGAAGACTTGGAGAAACTAGGAAAAAAACCTTCTTCATGAAAAACATTATCCATGCTTATCCCATTCTCCATCTTTTCTTGGATGGTATATTAATAAGTAATACTAAGCAAAAGCTGTAGTATTCTGAAAATAATAATGTCCTTTTGACAAAAGTCATGATCTCAATGACATCCTCTACTCACCTAACTTACCTTCAGATGCTGTCACTTCACTGCTTGGTTCTCCAGTTGTTTGACCAGCTGATGATCTGGTAGTCTCTTTCAAAATAAACAATATATATCAAATTATATATATAAACATCTTTAGTTAAACAGAACAGAGTGTGATGTTCTCTACTTTCAAAATACTGGGACTTCCCTGGTGGTCCATTGGCTAAGACTCCATGTTCTCAATGCAGGGGCCCTGGATTTGATCCCTGGTCAGGGAACTAGATCCTACATGCTGCAACTAAGAGTTCACATGTCACAGCTAAAAGATTCCACATGCTACAATTAAAGAGCTCACATGCCTCAACTAAAACTGAATGTAGCCAAATAAATTATATAAATATTTTTTGAAAATACCTGCCACACTTATACATTTCCAGTTCACTCTTTCCAAAAATTGATCATAAGAATCACCTGGGGTGATTGTTAAATATACAGATAGACTAGCCCAGAGAGTTTCAGCCCAGGTCATACATTGGAACAACTTGCAGAGCTTTTTTTTTCTTTTAATTAATTTATTTTTTAATTGAAGGATAATTTCTTTACAGAATCATGTTGGTTTCTGCCAAACATCAACATGAATCAGCCACAGGTATACATATGTCCCCTCCCTCTTACTTCTAAAAAATCACTCATGCCTCAGCACTTCCTCTCCGAGTTCTGATTCAATTACTCTGTAAAAGGCTCTTCAGTATGTATTTTCAAAAATACTTCTAGTCAATTTTAATGTGTAGCCAAAATTGTAAACCATGACCTTAGCCCAGCTTCACATTCACAGCCTTAGAAGTCCTAAGGCAGGAGTCTTAGAATTTGAAACACAACATGCTTTGGTATAGATCATCTCTGAAGTGATATTAGAGAATCACTGGCATTAATCCCATAAACGTAGGAATAATGAGGTCATGAATATGTGCATTTACTAGTAAGGAATAACTCAGAAGTTCTGGTGACTTCCTTAAGGTCAGTAAGAAGATGCCTCAGATGACTGTCAATGTTGCCCATTTCCATACCTGGTTGGCCTCCAGGGGTTGTGTCTGGGACAGGTAAGTCTACATTTGTGCTCTTGCTCCCAGGTGTGGTTGTGAAGAGTTCTGAAGTTCTTGGGGTCCCTGACACAACAAGGAAGAAGCATTACTTCCACTGTGGCAGAACTCTACATATCACTCCTCTCTAATGTGACAAAATCAAAGTTTATCATAAAAAAGAAATCTTCAAATGATCCCTATGATTTCTATGGCTAGATGGCCTCACAACAGTTGTTCAGTTGTTCAGTTGCTAAGTCATGTCCAACTCTTTATGACCCCACGGACTGCAGCACACCTGACCTCCCTTCACTGTCTCCCAGAGTTTGAACTCACGTCCATTGAGTCGATGATGCCATGTAGAGTTTAATCTTTTGTTCAATCTGTAATGTGTTCAGTACTATGGGCAGAGGCTAAGTTTCACATCCTGACTTGCCTGATTCTCCCGGGCTTGTCGCTCCGGTGATTGGTTGCCCAGGCGTGCCATCTTCCTCACCTCTTATTGATGCAGTAGGACCTCCTGTTCCTCCTGATAAAAAAGAAAATAGCAATTTGAAAAATACCCTAGACACAAATCAACTCATTTAACCCTATAAAAGTCCTCTGAGGCAATTTATATTACTAGTCCCACTCCACAGACATTGTCACCAGGCAACATATACCTAAATTCACACTGCACCCTGTGCTTTTCAGAAGATCTGTGGTAAAAGGAAACTTCTGTACATTTTTCAGTCTGCTATAAAATTTTGGAAAAGTGCCATGAAAGTAGATAAATTAAATAAAAAAATAAAACCATAAAAAACATAAGCTTTCATCCAACAAAAATAAAATTGCTGTGTCAAACTGCCATGTTTCTAGATACTCATATTCTGTTTCAGTTCTTCTCACAGTATGGACTGGTAACAGAGAATTCTGGATTGCACCCACTTACAAACCAAACTTGGAGAAACCATGCTCAAGACTGCTGTTCTCACTGTCTGATAACCAAAGGAGATAGCTGACTGACTTGTCATTATCACTACATAATTCCAATTCAAATTCTAGCAAATATACACTCAGTAGTCATCACCCTAAAATGTAAGTCAATTCACTGATCTAATTGGAATTAAGTCATTTCTTAATTTGTACTACTATAGCTTGTATCTTTCAAAAAATAATTTTTATGCCAGCAATGTTTTATTCAAAAAATGTTTAAGACATAAATTTTAAATTGAGAAATTTGCCAAAGGAAAACAAATGAAGGAAAAATGAAGTCAGGCCACAGATTAGTTAATAAATACATAAAGAGAAGTTCTATGCATACATTAAAGAAATGTCTTTTAATGGTATATAATGGTTTTGGTTTATCCCAAAAGCAATCTGAAAAATTAAAAGATTTTAAGTAGGACAAAGATGTGAAGACAGCTGAGGTTTTGTAAGTTCATTCTGGTAAGATATTGACTAAAGTGTAGACTGGGAAGCAAATTGGGAAGGATGGGAACATTCTCAACCTTGACAAGTATTAGTTGTTTGCCTGGCTCAACGCTAAGAGCTTTTGATTCTAGGCAAGTGTGCCCCCAAATTTTGTGTTTCAAAAGTGTCCCAGGAGACGTGAATGCTGTTGGTCTGGAAACTGCACTTTAGCACCACTGTGTTAGAGGGAGGTGAGTGAGGTAGATGAACATGAAGACTAGATAGAAGATGTTTGACATCTGAGCAAAAGCAAAGGCAAATGTGATGCAAAGAGGACATTAAAAAGGTACTTAAACTCACTCACTGAAGTTCTATGCATACATTAAAGAAATGTCTTTTAATGGTATATAATGGTTTTGGTTTATCCCAAAAGCAATCTGAAAAATTAAAAGATTTTAAGTAGGACAAAGATGTGAAGACAGCTGAGGTTTTGTAAGTTCATTCTGATAAGATATTGACTAAAGTGTAGACTGGGAAGCAAATTGGAAGGATGGGAACTTTCTCAACATTGACAAGTATTAGTTGTTTGCCTGGCTCAACGCTGAGAGCTTCTGATTCTAGGCAAGTGTGCCCCCAAATTTTGTGTTTCAAAAGTGTCCCAGGAGATGTGAATGCTGTTGGTCTGGAAACTGCACTTTAGCACCACTGTGTTAGAGGGAGGTGAGTGAGGTAGATGAACATGAAGACTAGATAGAAGATGTTTGACATCTGAGCAAAAGCAAAGGCAAATGTGATGCAAAGAGGACATTAAAAAGGTACTTAAACTCACTCACTGACTGCATAAGGGATGGAGTGAATTTAAGCTTGTTCATTTTTAATCAAAATCATCAATAACATTTTATTCTGAAACCAACAGTAGTTGAAGTTTAGTCAGTGATGCAGAAGGACAATTGTAGGCTCACTGACTTGTCTTGGATGTTCGCTCTTTAGGCACAGATTGCAGAATTGTGCAGCCGCAGACAAAGGAGGCTAAGAGCTCGGCTTCTAATCCTGCCTCTGCCAGTTTTGAGAACTTTCATTATTTTCTTCCTCATGGGAAAAAAGACACCTAACTACCATGGTGTTGATGTGGATTAAATTACATATTACATATTTTAGCATCATTCAGAAGTTTTAATGTGCCATAGAAATATGTCACTAATATTCTGTTAACACATAAATGTTAATTTTTCAGTTTTTCTCAAAGTCACCCAGATAACTTACTGCTGATGCCACACACATCTCTGTTATCTAATATGCTCAGATTACAGTTGGTCCTGATGCAAGATGAAGGGCTGCTGTGGAAAGAAGTGAAGGACTCATTTCCTTGTCTCACCTATTCTGAAGGCTGTGTCACCTGTGCTTCTATCTTCAGTTTCTGTGATCGCACTTACTGACACTCCAGTTGACCCTGATAAAGGTAAAGAAAAAGCAAAGACTTGCGAAAAAGCTGCATGCTGTCAATTCTCAAGGTGTATATGGTTGTAACATGATGTACAATAAAACTGCAATTTGTGCAAAAATTAGAGAGCCTACATTTTAATTACATACCAAAAACATCCAAAGCTGATATTACACATAAGTCAGATACTTTTATTTTGTAAAATATTGTTCTGAGCAGTATTGCCTGAAACCAGTTGTTTAGCCGTGCTGGTATATATTGTCCTGAACTTTATTTACCTGATGTGTGCCCAGAGGTGGTGAAGGTGGGGCCCACTGGTTCTGTGGTGCCCACACTTCCAGCTGTGGAAGTGATGGGAACTGGAGTTCTTGTAACACCTGAGAAAAACATCAAGAGAACTTCTCAGCTCCTGTTTACTTGGCCTTTAACACCAGTGGCTGATCTAACTATTCAATCAATTCCTACTATAGAAAATAGAATCATGAATTCAGTGACTCTGCACAGACACCCTAAGATTTCTGTTCCATTATTACTTTCCTACCAAGATTTTGGTTTAGTCCTTACCATATTTTTTTAACAAAGTCATGTCATCTGCATCTTAAATTGTATCATATCAGGTCTTTATACATTTATCTCAAAAGATTGCTTTCAAATAAACAGAACCTTATGCCCTAATCACATTGTCACTTAGAGATAACAGTAACAATGATGAAAATCATCATGAAAATCATCATGAAACTTTTAGCATCATCAAGTTGCTAAAAGTGACAACTTTTAATTGCTACTTTTATATTTAAAATACCTAATAAACAAAATGTATCATGAGATCCCCATGTTTTCTCTCATCCTATATATTTTTTTAATTTGAAGCTTGATATAACTTAATAGTTATATATGCTATAGTAATATTAGCAATAAACTGAAGGCCGTATTATAGCCAGTTAATATAAACACATCAAAACTGAGTCAAGTTCAGGGTTTTTTTTTTCTAGTTTAAAAACAGTGGGAAAAGCCCAGTAAACTATTATTAAAAATATTTTTTCAAAAGCCAAACATATATAATTTCTTTCTTAAAAACATAAAGGTACTAATGATTTATACTGTCAGATATTTTTTCACATATAAAACCAAGAATTAATAGACTAACCTGTGGTAAAAGTTTCACTGAGGAAACTCAGAGTTGTTCCTGATAAGAAAAAGAGAAATGATGTGAATTTTTCTGACCTCAAGGGAAAACATTAGAAAGACTGCTCACTTGCTAGTTTTCAATAAATTTAGTGGCTTGCAATATACTCAGTGTTGAGAGTTAGTAACACATTTTTATTTCATTTTTAAAATAGTGACATTATAATGTCACTCTTTTCAATGCAAGTGCGTATGTGTGTATGTGTGGGTATTTGTATGCTATACACATATGCATATGCTGAAGTCTACCAAATACAGTGTAAATGGAATAAATATATATCAACAAGGAAAAGTTAGTTCTCTGCTAAGCAGAGGCTGATTTCTTTGATTTCATTCTATTTTTGATTGTCAGCACCTTCAATATTTTTCTACTAAGAAACATATAGTCTACAAGAGTTTGGGGCAAATTGAAGGAGAAATACTTTTTAGGGTTTATTTTTATGATTTGATATAGTGGGTTCATGGAGATAAACCTGAAGTCACCAGTAAACTCCTGTAGGAAGAGGTATATTTTATTCTCATTCCCATTGCCAGGAAATGTGGTAAAAGTTTCTTAAAAGTTTGTTGTGATGTGGTCTATGGGCCTAAATATTTGCCTTTTTAAATTTCTAGCTTTTATAAATACTGAAAATAGCTATTTTCAGTATTTCAGTTTTAATTTCTATTGTAAAAAAAATCCCTGGAAATCTATTATATGTGTTTATATCACTCTAAAAGTTTATAACTTAAAAAAGAAAATACTTCTCATACAATTCATTTGATCCTCACTCTTTATCCAGCCATACTTTCATTCTTTCTATCTGCCATTCCCTTTACTTGGAAAACAGTTCCCTCTCTCTTCTCCTTATTAAAACTTCATTGTCATTTCTCAACTAAATCATCTTTTCTTCAATTCCTGACCATCCTGATTTGATCAAATCCTCTCTCCATCTATCCTACCCCCATTTTAAGCACTTCATAGTTCTTGCAAATTATTGCTACTTTCTATTCATTTTAATCACTTGACTGACATCCATCTTTCTGACCAGACTATTGCTTCATGAATGCACAGATCATATCTATTGCAACTTATCATTAAACTCCTAATGATATGAGTCCCTAATACATAACAGGGGCTTGAAAAATATTTGTCAATAGAATACATGAATGAATCAGTCAATGAAGTGAAAGTATTACACCTATTCTATGTATGAAGAATTGAGCTTAGAAAAAGTAAGTGATTTATTCAAGATCACTAGTGATCAATGACAAAGCTAGAACTAAAATCTAAGTCACTCTGAACCTAGCTGTATGTATGTGATGCATACAGCTTTCTATATGATGCTACCTCTATGCATAATACATTACTCTTGTAGTTTATAAGTTTTTTGTTACCCATTCACCATATTAATGGAAATACTACAAATTAGACTAGAAATTATAGAATAAAATGTCAAATAAAAAATAAAGCAGCCTATTTCCCCTGATTACTTCACAAAAATGGATATAGTATAAATATATTAAGTAGTTTGAAAGAAGGTTTGTGTGAATATTCTCAGAATTAATGTTAAGCTTTAGCTGGGAAAAATTTTCAAATCAATATCAAGCAGACTCCACCAACAGACCTCTTCAAATCTTGATATCTTTTCTCACTAACAAACACAACTGGACATTTGAATTAAAGTGAGTTGCAATATGGATGTAAGAATAACATAGGAAGATTGTTATGCCACTGTCCACAGAGACTGTCAGGATTATAATGATGTAGGGCAGGATAGACCTCAATACTTCAAGAGACTGTAGGGTAGATTCCATTTCCTAGTATAGATTTTTCAGCCATTAAGAAATTCCCCTGATCCTAATTTGAACTCATTCAAGCTGAAGGCAATTACATTTCATTAAAGGCAACATTATCACATGGAGAAGAATCAGTCTTCGCCAAAATTTCTACACCTGAATACGTAGGGCCCGACAGGGAGCTGAGGAGAACACAGCCACACGGCAGAGATGGCACGCAGCCACCGCGGAGATTTGTGCGTTTGAACGAGAAACACGTTCACAGGCCTTTCTGTGCAATTGGTGTGGCTGAGGAGGCCACATGCCCCAGTGGATCTCAAGGTCCCATATCTTATCAGGGCCACGAGTTCTCTAAACCAGCCTCAGGCTGGAGCCCATGCCACTTTGACTACTGTGATAGAGCTCTCTTTCCCCACAAAATAACCTGGGAGGAGGCAAGTCTGAAATTATCAATACAACAATAAAAAGTATGGACAAGATTCTACTAACAGGAATAAATGAGAATTCACATTCATGGTTTAATTACCAAAACTGATAGAGAAAGCAATTATGTTCCCATTAATTTTGACATTCTTAACTATTACAATTTCAATTGATTTTTCCATTTCTTACAAATGAACATATATGCTAAAGTACTTGCTATTATGAATTACTGTATATTAGACTCTTTGTTGCCAAGACATAAATGATAATAGAAAGAGCTTCCTCTACCAAACTATTGATATGTCTGTATGTTACAAAGTGGTAATCCATCCTAACGATTTTCAAAGTGATTGTGTCCATTTATTTTTACCTTATGATCAATATGATAGTTTATTTTATTATTTTAACCTCATTTTTTCCTCATGATAAACTTAATAATTGAAATAAAATCACATAATTAATTTCCCAGCTACTACTGTTTTTTATTACATCTAAGAACCATTTAAAGTTTTATAAAATTTATAAAATCTTTTATAAATTATTATTTTCCCATTTTCCTTCAGTGAATTCAATTTTACTTAATATAAATTTCTGAAAGATAATCTTAAGGAGTCTTTATAACATTTTCTCTCATAAACAACAAATTAAGTACTGCAAAGTTTAGATTTTGCAAAGTATCTTATTTCTGAAAAAAGGTAAAAATTCATAAAATTGGTTTTAATTGAATAAGCAGTATGTTTGTGATTAATTATTAAAAATTACTATTCTGCTAAAATCTAAGTTCATTTACATAATGGATTGTTCTCTATAAAACTGAACAAATTTGACTTCACTGAGTACTTATGTGTTACACTAAGCTGCCCTCACATCCAACAATGTAGATATTGTATTTATCTTACTTAAAAAATGAGAAAACTAATGTTCAGTATATTTGAAGGACTGAAACAAGGGTCATACAGCTAGTAAGTAGAAGAGAAGAGATTCTAGTTCTTATTTTTCTGTTTCTGCATCCCACTGCACTCAACTGGCTCTCTATAATATCCTGATGCACGTACTTTCTATGATTGATACAATTTTAGAATAAGTGATTACATAAATCTATTACATAAAATGTATATACAATCTATAATTGTAAAATTCTGATATTTTAACTTTTTAAGAAAAGAAAAATGCATTTTAAGATGTTAAACTGTTATGTAATAAATACCTACTTTTTTAAATTATATGAACCAGTATTCCATTTAGTCAATGAGCTATTTTTTGTTTTAATAGAAAAATTAAATAAATTATGCATTTTAGCACAAATCAAAATTTGAAATTGAATTCTGCAATTATATGCTACTATTTCAATAACATTTAAATTTAATTTATTTTCTTTCTTAAATGTCAAAACACAAAAGCGTTAAGATTGAATGTAGAAAAATATGTTCTGGATTTTAATCCTCTCTTTGCTAATTACCAAGTGACCGTGAACACATAACTTAACCTTTTGTGCTTCCATTTCCTCATTTGTAAACTGAGAAAATAATGGCACCCACTTCACAGAGTACTGTATCAAATGAGGTAATATGTGTCAAATGTTTAGAATAGTGCTCAGTAAATGTTAGCTCTGTGTTGAGATCTGTCAGTCTGAACAAGAAAAAAAAATGATTGCATAATTTTTCTTCTAAAAATAACATATTTATTGGAGTGGTTGTCTAGGCATCTCTCAGGGCATTTTAATTCTTTGAAAGCATTTACTTCATAGAAAAGAAAATAGATTTACAAAGCATGGAAAAAAGTGTAAGCTTGGCATATTACTCTCTTTGTGCTTTTAAAGTTTTAAAGTCAAACACTTCATCATTCCTCTTCTGAAGACCTTGGCCTTTCTCTTTCTACCTGGCAGGAAGAAATACTTTCAATCCATCTGAGAAGGTCATTTAAATTTATGAAAGGAGTTAAAATAATTTGCACAATCCTTTCAAGGAATAGGTTAAAAAAAGAAAGAAAGAAA